TTAACCATTAAGTGTTTAATTATTCGATTTCAAAAGCACCTTTTTGAAAACATCAAATGAGCGTAAATTGTTAGTAACGTATTGCAGTTAGTCCATCATGAACAAAGTTATGCAACATTATTGGTTCGAATTTTTGACCTTGTATTTCCTATAGTTTTCATTTGACGCACAAGCATGATCTTTATTATTAATTATTACTACAGAGTAAATTAATAGGATTAAATCTTATTAAAAGGTCAGGGTTTTCTAAAAAAAACATCCCGATCTCATGGTCGGCAGCATCCAGGTTATCATGACTAGCAACTGATTCAACAAACAATCACACTTTTCTGTGCGTCTTATAGTCATACTTAATATGAAATAAGTATTCTGAAGAAATTTATTTCTTCCGAATTTAAGAAACAATATCAAACTTTTTTAGTTAAAATGAAATGTGAAAGGACCTATAGTGCGTACGCCCCTTGGCATTAAATCCAAGCAGGGTACATATACGTGTTTAAAAAAACTGTTATAAAAAGCAAGTCCATGCCTTAACAATGTTTATAAAAATCAATAAAATTTAAGTTTAAAAAGTTTTGTCAAATTCAAATTATGAAAGTTGATTATTTCATTGAATCCTTTAGAAAATTCGAGTAGTTAATAAAAAATTAAAAACTCAAGTTCTCTCCTCATTGTTTTTATAGAAATATATAATTCAACCGGACTTTTATATTTCTCTTCATCAACCTTGCTCTTTGTATTTTTTACAAGTTGTGTCCATCCATACGGCCATTTTCCTAGACAGGGAGTTTGAATTATTTTTCCTGATTTTGTAATTCAGTTTTTATATATGAAGTTTATACAGTTGTTAAATGCTCTTTGAGAAATGGTTACGGTTCCTTTTACGAGATGCATGTGTATAAGCTAACAGAAAATGTTAGAGGTATTTCTAGACGATTCAGTTCTTTAATTTTTTTTTAAGTCCACTTTATCCATTCTGGTATGTTAATTTCTTTTATTGGACTATAATCATCAGGACCTAATTTAAGGAATTTCAGCTAAATGGTGTCCCACGAAACATGACAGTAGCAAGACGACTTGAAAGTTGTCATAGACATTGAATTTATTTGTGACATTTAACCGTCAACCTGCTTTAACATGTATGATCCCTAAACAAAACACCTCTAAATTCTCCAAGTCCTGGTATTTTTGTACCAAAATGTGGTCTGCCTTTAGCTTTTTGGTGCTGTTGTGGAAGACGATACCTGGCCGCCTAATACAATTTCCACAAAATTCACCAGAATGAGATAAAATGGATAAGAGGCATTGTACTTTGGGTCTAACCTGTGTGATCTTGATATTGACACATCTGAACCCTCTAGTAAAAGTTATAAGAAATATATATACTGGAAGTTACTTTATGCGTTTCATTAGAGATCACCCTCACGTCCTCTATACTGTCAATATTACCTGAGATTTGAAGAATTTCGATAAAATTTCAATTTCTTAAATAAAACGAAAATAGTCTAAATCTGATCGAAATCCTTCATATCTCCGTTATCTCTAACCCATTAATACCAACCAGCTCCCCTGTTGACAGAATTACATGGAATTTTAAGTGATGAATTCTTAAACTGTTTTACAATGAAATTTTTGACAAATTTGACTGAGTATTGCATCTTGAAATATCACAAAGTTGGTTAATGAGTGATTTTAAGATGGATTTAGTATAATGAGTCAGTAATTGAATAATCATTAGACTTTGTAAAGTTTGTCAAAAGTTTCATTGTAAAACAGTTTAAGAATTCAACACACAAAATATTAATCTTAAGTAAAATTTAAAAAATGGTTTGAGTTGTGTTTTTTTTGTGTGACGTGGCTGGATTTTTTAAAATCATGCTTTAAAGGCCCTAAATATACCATATAAAAAAGTAGTTTTGCCCGGAAGAGTCAAATGTAGTGGTACAGAAGGGGAAATAGTGGTGGCTCATGGCTGCCAAAAGAGAAAAAAGCTAATGTGTATCAAGGAAGGGGAAATAATGGTGGCTCATGGCCGCCTGCCTTCCCCCGCTCTTCATACAAAGATAATAAATGGTGGAAGATCTGGACAAAATATTTCTTAAATAACCTGACAGAGGCCTTGGGGAAAAGTACTAAATTCTTTGCTCAAAAGTAGATTACAACTATAAAAACCATCAAGGGCCCTTTTTACCATTAAGACTTATCTCATACACTCTAAAAAATGCAATTTTGGTCTTTAGCATCAGGCATCAAAGTTCTTCTTTCATATTTCAAATTTCTTCTTTCATTACTCAAATTTTGTTAAATATTTTCCAAAATTACAATCTAACAAAACTTGTTAATAGCTTACACATTGTTCTCTCAGCATGTGTCAAACTTTGTTATATGACATCTTTCTTTTGTCATGTGACAGTTTTCTTTCATTGTAATTAGCCGATATTTTAGTTTGTGTAAGATTAAACAAATTTTGATTTATGATCAATCAAACGTTGGACCATCTGCCGGGCTGGCACGGCTTGCACGGCTGGCTGGAGGGGGGGAATCAGCTGACTTTCTAATTAGTGACAGTTTAGTCTGTCAGCCGACAGCGCTTACACCTACGTCAATTCGATCTGGAAATTTGGAGATATCAAAAAGATTTAAAGGGAAACCTCCAAGAAACTGGAAGAACAAAATTAAAACTTGTTTATAAGCATTTGTACACTCTCTCAAACTATAATGCTTGCATTTTCAATGCTTTGCTTGAAAGAGAGTATCAATGCAAAACCAAATCTTCCATAATTCAGACTGCAGAATCTACTTCTACAAGAATCAAATGTTGTCTAAATTGGTGATTAATTGATGCCCAGTTCTTTAAGCTTTGAATTGTAATAAAGTGTATTATAAACAGCAAAACTTATGAGCTGCATGTTACTTTAAATATTTGTATTAAGATCAATTATATTTCTGCCTCATGTCTTTGTATTATAAAAAAATGTGATAAACTTTAAACTTATGATGTTTAAATTTTTGTTTTTATCAATTGCATTTTTGCAAATTTATGCGTTTTAAAAACTAATAAATTGTATAAAAAATTGAAATTTTACATAACAGCCGGAATTATGTAACAAACTTTGAATCTAGTAAAAACAAATATTGAGAGAATAGGTTGTGCCACCTGTAACAACCTCTTTTGACGGGTCAAGATTCAAAGCTGAATACAGAATAATCATATAACAAATGATTACATAGTTGCGCAGTAAGTTGAAGGGACATCCAACAAATTTTGACGCATGCTAATTTTTAAACCGCGCAGTGTTGCTGGTTGAATCGACATAAAATAAAATTTGTGAGATGATAATTATATGTAGGCGCGGCACAGCGAGCGGACAAACACCGGTTTATAGATCATGTAACAAACTTTGAATTAAGGCGACTGAAAATACATTCAACAAAATTTGACGAATGATTCTACTAAGGTGTATTTGAGTCCGGTGCTCTAACAAATTTTGTTAGATGAAAATTTGGAATTTCTTAGAGTGTAGTGGTTACGAAACCTCTAGAACATGCTTAAATAGAGCCTACAGAGTCTAGAGATATTTTAGCTATGACAAAGAATGTAATTGGTGTTGGGTATTTTCCCGAATGACAATTTCCCAAGGGGCAACTTCCCAAATGTGTAATTTCCCAAGCGCAAACTTCCCAAGGGTTAGGTTAGACTTTCTGAGGCGTCGAAGGCTGCAATGGGGGCCGAGCACTGTGGCTAGGTTGGGCTTGGGGGCTAAGCACTGCGGCTAGGCCAGATTTTGGAAGTTGTTGCTTGGGAAATTGCTCAGTTGGAAAGTTTTAACTTGGATAAATACCCCTTGGAAGTATGCCGCTTCGGAAAATGCCTTTGGGAAAGTAACTAACATCAAATGTAAACGAGCTCCAGGAGAAAATTAATGACGTCCAACATAATCATATCATCAGATTGACATTATCTGGTCCGAAAACCAAATCAAGATGGATATAGTGAACTTTAAAAAAAAATTACAGGGCTGAGACGTCTATCTATAAGTATCTCTGATCTTTATTTGCAAGACATAACACACACACCTCATATAACACCTCAGATAATGGAAAAGTAATTGATTATTGACAATCTTAAGAGATTTAATCTTATAAAACATATCTCCCCAGTGTCCATCTGTGTTGAAGCACATAAATGTCATCAACTTTCCCCCTAATATATTATATTAATAATTATATTGTTGAAAAAAAACAAGCAAGAAGGAATTTTAGTATTTTGAATGGAATATTTAAAGTTGGAATAAATTTAATTATGATTTGAATATTGCATGCTGGTAAAATCAAGAAAATCTAGGAAATTGCAATTTGAAGAGGTTTAAAAGTATTTAGGAAAGGGAACATTTAAACGTTGCTTACAAATAAAACACTTTAAGGAGAATTAGTAAATTTTGTATTTTCTAGTATTTTATGGGTTTGTTAGTTTAACTACATTTTGAATACTTCTAAATCTTTAAAACTGGCAATATAATGAAATAATCAAATTAGCTAAACACAGTAATGAAAAATTGGAAAAAATTTGATTTAATAAGTTTAACCAAGACAAATATGTAAACATTGGCAATTACTGGAATTGATTGATTGAATCTGCTCTAATCGGATTCTTTATTTTAATTTAAAAAATTAGACAAGAGAAAATCAATGAAATTATTTTTTTTAATGAAAAAAATTTTAAAGATCTTTATTGTAAACATGCAGCTTAAAATTAAAGAATTTTACTTTTAATAAATCTAAATTACTTTCGACTGTCAGGAAGCTTGAACATATAATGAAGCCTACTCCATAGTGGACTGGTCCTCCTAAACCTCAATTGGAAAATGAAATAAGCCTGCCTTCGTTATATTTAAACCCTACAGCAGTAGGTTACATCATAATACTCCTTTACACCAACCAAGATGGGGGGGGGGTGCTAAATGTGTTGTCTTAATATAATGCATACATTTATTTTGCAGCCTTGACTGAGATTTTCATGAAAGCTGATACTTCCGGTAATGGTAAGATATCAATAGAAGACTACATGGACATATGTGACGAATATGGGATATCTGTATCGGAAGAAGAACTTAAAAATGTTGCGGTATGTAAAACTTTTAGCCTTATTTTGTAAACATCTACACTGAAATCTTTTTTTGTATTGCAGTCTTAAGACGACTAAATACTTCTATTTTGGTCATCCATATTTGAATCTGAACATCTTATTAGTGAAAAAACCTACTGAACAAATTCTGTTTGAATTTTGAAATAGTCTGAAAAGCTAAAAGTAAATATTTTATTGACATTGACTTTTAAAACAAAATGGTAAAATGGTAAAATAGGTATTCAGTATTCACCTTCGTTTTAACGAATAACGGGGTAACTGTTAAAAAGTTTGAGAAGATGTAACTGGATAAATTTGCTTTTCTCATACTTGTGCTAAAAAATTGTAAGAGCTACATTGTTTATTCTGCGCCTGTATCCCAGTTCCATTACTAACCACCCTGAGCTGAAAAATTTAGAATGGAATATCCATAATACCGATTGCTCAATCTGAGTATCCAATTTACACACTTTTGATTTTTTCTTGATCCTTTCTTTTGGATACATCTACTGTATGAAAGTTATGTTTGATAACAATTACAAATACGATTAGGGATGTTAACGTTTTCTTTTTTTGAAAATCGATCGTTTCGTTATAAAAAATGCTACGAAAAATCAAGAACGAAACGATCCTTTTTTAAAAACGATAGTTTTTTAAAAAGTTCGTTTTTTAAAAATGGTCGTTTTTAAAACGATAGCTTTGAAAAATGATCGTTTTTGAAAACGATCGTTTTTCAAATCAATAGTTGTTTTAAAACTCGTTGTTTCACTAACGATCGTGAACGACAACCCTTCGTTAACGATGGTTAGCGACTACCCTTTGTTAACGATCATTAACGACTACCCTTCGTTAACGATCATTAACGAAGAGAGGAAACCAACCTGAAGGGCATCTGTACAAATCATTAAGAAGTTTTTAAGAAAATATCATGAAGTTTAAGATCCCCCACAACTCTTTCACTTCATGTAAGACGACATTCAATAAATTTGCATGACATTTTTTTCCAAAACGATCGTTTTTCAAAAAACGACCGTTTTTTTAAAGTTAGTCCTTTCTTAAATGATCGTTAACTGTCAATAAATTTTTTTTTCAAAAAACGATCGTTTTTTAAAAATAATCGTATAAAAAATGGTCACAAATCGTTTTCATATAAACGATCGTTTTCAAAAACGATCGTTATTCGTTTTCTAAAAGTTTAAAACGAGTAGGTCGTTTTTTAAAACGATCGTTTTTTTTCGAAAACGAAACGATCGTTTTTGAAAACGATTGAAAAACGAAGCAAAAAACGATCGTTTAACGATTGTTTTCAAAAACGATTAACAACCCTAAATACGATGCTATATCGATTGGACTAATATCTGATTGAACTAAAGTCAGCTGTTCACAAGCCGACTATAGAGCATTTAAACAAATATGAATTTAATCATGGTAAACTTATTAAGAACATATTTTATCACATTTGAGAACTATAGTTATTTTAAAAGTTAGTTTTAATAATAGCTTAGTAAAGTCATTGGTTTTAATAAACATTAATCCATGACTTACGTTCGTTCAATCGATCATTAGTTTAATTGATATGACACCATTAACGCTAGAAATGCGCAAAAATTAAAAACCGACTTTTCAAAAGTTATAGAGCGAATTAAACATGACACGTTGATTGGTTGAATTTTAGACTTCTTTCTTGGATATTGAATGTGTATTAACCTAATCTCGGGTTTAGTAAAATTAGGAGATCAAGCATTAATCTCGATATCCACCATTCTAAAGTTTTCAGCTCTGGAGTCACAAATTTGAAAAAAGATTTTTATTTTGAAGACATCCATCCCCATGGAGGCTGGCAGTAACAAAACAATTTCAAAGAAAGGATCCTAGATCCTTAAAAATTATAAAATTTTAAACATGCTTCATTATAAAAAAAATTTTAAAAACCATTAAAAATAAAAAAATAATAAAATAAATGCATCTTTTCTCAATAATCTTGCTTGTTGTTTTAGAGATGCGGTTTTTTCTCAAACCCTTTAGTCAGAGATGACCAAAGTATCATTTTTATAAGGAAGAATGTTAAGCTCTAAAATGTCACTCAATATCTCTAAACCAAAGTTTAATGGATCTAAAACACTTAACCATTGCCTGCAAATCGTGTACTTAATGAAAATCTTGAATATTGTTTTTTTCATAGTTATTGGCTGACACAAATGGCGATGTTGGAAAATCTGATTTTATCGCTTATGTAAAAGGGAGCAAACTTTTCAAAAATTTTGAAAGTGTGGATCCAGAATCTGATTTTCATTGGAATAAGAAGGTTAGATATGGACACTTAGAAGATGTATGTAAAACGTATTTGCTTTATAATTTGATAAAATACACATTCCTATAAAAAAACAATTTTTTGGTATACAACCATTTTTATTGACTCCAGCAAGTCTAAACACTCTTGGGGTGCTCATTGAATCCCACGGGGTTTTAATTTTCATTTTTTCAAATTTTCTGATTGTAAATGATACATCTTAAATAGTTTTTTAAGAAAAGCTTAAGAGTTTTAAAATGTACACATACTTTTTTGGATGTGATCCATTGAATGATGTATGCACTATGAATATACATCATATTTAGTACATGTTTCATGTACTGTTCATTGCAAGATTGATCTCGCCTGGCACTGTTTTGATAAGAACGAAGATGGTTTTATCTCTAAAGTTGAGTTTGGTAGGATGACTAGCAAAAAAAAACTTTCTAGGTAAATATTTCATTGTTTGTTCAGAAAAACATAATTATTACAAAATTCCGATCATTTGTTGTAGTAACATTAAAAATCACACTTACCACCCCACCCAACAACACTTCCAACCCACCCCAAAACACTTACAACCCCACCCCACTCAATTCCTTTCAATACATTTCTTTATGACAATATTGTCTGAGTATTCTAGAAACTTTAAGATATATTCATATCTGTCATCGTTTTTTGTTTAAAACTAATCAAATTAGAAGAAAGAAATAATATAGTAGTGTAGTAAATGCCCTATTCCATAAACTGCTTTCAGACCTTTCGCTGTAATCAATGCGGAGTCTATTCTAACTGTTGTGTATTTACAAATATATGTTACATGTTAAGTTAATACATGTATTTACAAGATTAGCGCAGATATATATCATCGTAGTTAAGCTGATCACAATATGTAGCTAGTCTAATTGCATTACAAGTTTTGCGTAGTTTAGAATAAAAGCATTTATATAAATGCAACATAATTTATCTAGGTATGTTCAAATGTATAGCTATATAATCAAGCACTGTATTTACTACAAATGGGGGGGGGGATTGGAGTTTTCTTGTTTTGCTTCCAGTCTATGATGTCTTCTGCAAATAGAGAATGCATAAACTCCCTCATGTTAAGCTTGTCACTTTTCTTCATAGCCTATGGCTGTTTTGGTTCTTTCTTTGGATTTCTACTAATGGAATGATGTACAAGAACTGGTTATCTAAAAACATTCTTAACACTTCCTCCTTCAATTTTTGGTCTTGGTTTAATATCTGATTTTCATCTATCTTGAGGTTTTCATGAATAAATTTCTTCTTACTCTCTTCTGTAGGATAATCGGATTCCTGCATAGAATTAACATTTCTAAATAACTTTTTCTCCCCTGAAAAATTAAAGATAGTTTCTGGAAGCACTAATTTTCGTTCTGGGTTTTGTTCTTCTGGTAGCATGGATTCTCCTCTCCAACCTCCTTCTATTCTGACTTTCACTAATTTTGCGCTTCCTGCAAAAATAAATACTTTCTCCCCTGACCACAGTTTTCTCTATTTCACTTCTGGTTCTGATATTATTTCCAGTTCCGGTATTACTTCCGGTTCCAGTTTTCTATCCTTTCCAGCATGGAGGAATTATCTGCATGTACCTTTTTTCCCTCTTATCCGGTCTCTTTCCTTTATGCATTAATGGGAAGGGGGAACCTGTCACACCACATGAAAAACATGTGCAAGTAATGCAAGGGGAGAGGAAAGGGTAGTGACTTGCACCCCCCCCCCCCCCCGTGCCCCCAAGAATTCAATAAAGAGAGCTCCGAGAAAAGAAAGCCAGATTATAAGCTAGTTCAAATAAATAGAGGGTTTGGAAAAAAGGGAGATCTTTTAAAAATAGTTCTTCCTTGTAAATTGGCTCAAAACAAGGACATTCCTTTTCTTTTTTCAAAATGTATGAAAGATGTAAAAACAAGAAGAAAAGGAAAAACAAGAAATATAGAAATCTCAAAATATTTTCATCTGCTATCATATAAATATTTTTAAATATTTAAAATTTAATCAAAATAAACTATTTAAGTTAAAAATTTGTTGAACTATGTTCTTCTTTTCTAGAGTTGCCAGCTGTTCGCTGTTGGAATTCTCTACTAAAAAGCCCAACTTACTACTTTATTTAACTTCTCAGTTAGGTCTGCTACTGTTTTATTCCGCCTCCTCCATTTCTTTAATAATTCTGTTTTTCTTTGCATTCTCGTGCATAATGTCCTGTTTTTGAACAATTTACATTCTTGTTTCTTCTGTTACTTCCAGTCTGGTTGTAACTCTAACTTCCGGTGTGGTTGTAAATCTTACTTCCGGTCTGATTGTAACTCTTGTATCTCTTGTTTGGATTCTTCTTATTCAATTCTGCAAATGACACTGGATTCCTTGCACCCTATTCTGCTAACTTCCTACAATCTCTCTTTACATGACCAGCATTCTTGCAAAAGAAACAGCATTGAGTTGACATATTCATAACTTTCCTTTCTATCTAATTCATATGAGACTAAACCAGACATAACATTTAACTCCATATGAACTCCATATAACCTGTTCTCCATATTTCATCTGCATAGTTCTGGGTGGTACAGTCCCATAATCATTGCATTCTTGAACTCTGATAGTGTTTTTTTTTGGCTGGGGCATATGCTTGTATCCATAGCCTTAACTTATCTGTCTAATATTTCCTGGATCTTCATTTCTTAACTGTTTCCTGGCTGTGCATTACTGTTTCCGACCTTCCTCATCTTTTTCCATGTGAGAATTTCTTCCTTATCTTTGAGAAAAAATCTCCTATCACATAACTATCACACAAATCCTTGTCATGTATGGTGCAACATCACTGTCTCTTGTGATACATGACATTAACATCTTTTTTACTGGTTTGTTTGGGATTGTTTGCCATTTATGGTTAGACAAATGGTTTTCTATCTTTTCTCACCAGTTTAACACTTCTTTTGGATCACTACCATATGTCGGGGCTTTTTCTATGAAAGCCAGTACTCTTTTATCAAGACTAGCCTCAAACTTGGCTAGTTTTTTGTATGTATCCGCATTTAATGTCCGGTTTGCAACAGCTGCATCCAGGAATTCCTTAGATCTGTCTTGTGCATCATTAATCTTGGGTTTCCCCAGCATTGCTGTTTCTCTTGTAATGGGATCTTGGCATTCTGGTGTCGAGTTATTTTTCCACATATTCATGTATGACTCCTTTCCTTTCTGCTTCTTTCTTCTTGTATATCTTTTTGCACTGTTAGAACCACCCCATCTCTAGTTCGGTTTCCCACTTCCATTTGTTCCAACCTTTGCAGTATTTGCTTTACGTCTATGCTTTGAGGGTTTGTCATGTTAAGTTCTGTCTCTGATTCATCCTCACTAGGTAGACTAGGGTACAATGATTCAACCATATCCAGTGTGGCTGTTGTTACTTCTTCTGATACAATATCTCCTCGTACTGTTTCTCTTACTACTGCATTAAACCAGGTGCTCACATGGTTCTTCTTGGAGACTTTAGCATTTATCTGTGATTCCTTAGTTCTTGTCGCTACTACCACTTTTGTAGTAAGTGCCCTACTCCATAAACTGCTTTCAGACCCATATCAATCCAGGTACAACTTGTTAGCTATCAATGTCAACAGTCGAGTAAACTATCCATGCCAAACCAATGGGTACAATCTCGTCAGCTATCAATGTCAACACGGACACAAGCTAATAAACTATCAATGCCAAACCAATGGGCACAATCTTGTTAGCTATCAACGTCAACACGGACACAAGCTAATAATCTATCAATGCCAACCAATGGGCACAATCTTGTCAGCTATCAACGTCAACACGGACACAAGCTAATAAACTATCAATGCCAAACCAATGGGCACAATCTTGTTAGCTATCAACATCAACGCGGACACAAGCTAATAAACTATCAATGCCAAACCAATGGGCACAATCTTGTCAGCTATCAATGTCAACACGGACAATATTACTCTCTCGCCGTAATCAATGCAGAGTCTATTTCAACTGATGTGTTACACGTTAAGTGAATATATGTGTTTACAGGATTAGCACAGATATATATCATCAAAGTTAAGCTAATCACAAATACATAGCTAGTCTAATCGCTTTACAAGTTTTGCGTAGTTCAGGATAAACGCATTTATGTTTACAGACAATGTACAACGTAATTTGTCTAGGTATGTTCAAATGTATAGCTATATGATCAGTGTATGTATAGCTATATTACAGTGTTTCATTTTAATTTTTCTTGAGTCTCATCTTTTCTCTTGTTTTTTTTTCTTTTGAACGGTTTTATTTTCAATCTCAATCTCACTTATCACGCTATATTTATTTTTTTAAATACTTTATGTCAGTCTTTCTGGACCAAGCCCTGTTTCTAGGACAGACTAGTGGGCCAATCGCTGCAGCTAGTAGTTCAAATGAACATACCAAAATAGTTCAAATAAACCAAACTTATATATGTTGTAACTTATATGTTTAGTAATTATATGTTTTGTCATTTTATATTTTGTAATTATATCTTATATTTCTGAGGGTTTCCGATGAGACGGTCATGGTGGTCTCCTATCTCCGATAGTACTCCAATGATGATGATTTCTCCCCTGACTTCTTATTTTCTTATTCTCTCCCTAACTTTGTGTTTACTCTTGTAAGCCCTTTCCATTTAATTTAACTTTTTTATCGTTTGTATTTTCCCTTTTCAATGTCATTTTCTTGATCTCACTTGATCCTGTTTTAAACTGCGCAGCTCTATAATCTTATAACTAAGATCAAATGTTTGGTGTTAAGGAAGCAGATAGATTTGATGTATAAAAGAATGGATTTAAATGGTGATGGAAGACTGGACTATGATGAATTTAAAGCTATGATTTTAAAACACAAGTAATTTTTTGTTCACAATTTAATCAAATTAGCCGCAATTCTTATGATGAATTATTATTACAAAGTTTAACATTTTTATTCTTGAAAATTCTGAGGTTTGCCTCAAATTTCTTAACAATATACGTATTAAATCACTTTAGCTTTGTTTTAACCTTTTTGGCATTAAGGCCTGTAAATGCTTTATATTGTCCATTTGGTGATATCATAATTATTCTAAATCTTTTCTTTCAAGAGAACGGAAAGAAGGTTTGATAACGAAAGAAACTGCACTAAAGCATAATAATATAAAACAATTTACTTCCCAAACATTAGGTGAGTGGTTATCTTTAGTGTTATAGGTACTATCTAGTATCTACATATTTAAATAAAAATGCAATATTTTAAATCTTCCCTTTTTGCTGACCAAACACGTGGTTCAGGAGCACAACTGATCAATTTACCAGACTGACGATACTTTTTTTACAAAAAAAAAACTATGAAAGACATTGATTGTTTCAAAAATAAACTTTATGTCGAAATATCAATGTTTTAAAAGCATTTACAAAAAAAATAACGTTGAACTGGATGATTGATTTATCTTATCTTCTAAATCTTAAGATATTTAAAAACATTTGGCTTTTAAATTAAATTTTAAGAAATTAGTCAAAAAGTAATGATCGGTGAAAAGATTCCACTTTATTTTCAAATCTTGCTCTGCTAGAAAGTGCTCACCTTTAATTTAAAGTTTAGTTTAAGCAATATCCTTATTTAAAGAGCAGAGTATTGAGCAATCAGGAATAACTAAATTATCCCTCTTTTGTCAAATGTAATATTAAAATCCGTGGAAGCTTAAAATCTAAAAATTAAATAATTTTTTATGGCGTCAAACCTTACAGAAATCCAACGTATGGACCCGCTTGTATAGCAACATGGTGTATTTTCCGGGAGAACATTTTTTATATTTTTGAAAAATTAAATTATCAGTGTAAAGTAAATATAATTTTCATTAAATCCTTTTATTTAAATGGTAAAACGGAATTTTATGAAATCATATTAGCATTACTGGAGAACTTTTTTTATGCTTTTAAGAATTTTTTCCAAACCTAAAATGTACGTATTAAACTATTTTGCTCCTTTAATGTCTAGGTTATGTTGAAAAAAAATAGAAATTATGATAATGATAATGATATGCTACAATATTTTACAAAAACGTTTAATTTTTTAAAAATATAAAAAAATGTTCTCCCGGAAAATACGCCATGTTGCTATACGTAGCGGGTCCATACGTTGGATTTCTATAAGGTTTGACACCATTTTTTATTGGCTTGATAACATTGAGAAGAAATGATCTGTACATGAGATCAAATTCGCAAATATTTGCATTTGGTTGTATAAAATTGTTTAATGGCGCAAATGCAAAAACAGAAGTCTTATATTCCATTCACAAAAACCTCAATAACCCGGATTTTGGCATACTGATAACTGAACATTTGCGTTTTTTACCTTGTAGCACAGATATCAGGCATTGTTAAAACATTTGTTAGATAGCAATCGAAAGCAATTTTTGCTATCCATTCTAAAACTACCTTCAAATTTACAAGGAGAAATTAGCAGTAAAAATGTGTCTAAAAGTAGTTTTTTTGTGCTGTTCTCTCACTGTGAGGAGGACGTTTCTTTTTCATAAAAACCATCTCAAGAAAATTTCTTGAGAACATAGCATTAGGACTTAGCAGATTAGTTTCGAGGTTTATGGAAACTTATAGGAAGCTGAAACTCCTCAGTACAATAATAAATGATTATCTGTTAAATAAGGCAATATTCTGCTCACAGTAAAATTGAGCTCATTATGAGAAGAGTCTGAATAAATATAAAACAAACAGAAAAGAAGAGTATTGTTATGTTTTCACATATTTCATAATGTGTAGGCCATCTATTTCGTGTTTTTGTTTTGATTTAAAGTAATTTTGAAAAAAAACCTTTTTCTTAACACTGCAAAAATTTGCTCAAAAATGCTAAAATCAAACTGCAGTTCCGTTGAGCACTTTCTAGTTGGACAAATATGATATCTTTCACTGTACTGGAATAGAGATATTCAGCTTATTTTTTTTCAATATTTTTGAATCCTTTAGACAAATGCACAATGATTTAAAAGTCGGAGAGTTTATCTTTACTTATTGTCGATATTGAACAACACAAGTGAAGACAAATTTTAAAGTTCTCATGTTCTTGCCTAGAACTAAAACATTCTATTTTAAGATTCTCGTTTGAAAAAAGAAGACTCGGAGTTTCATGGCAGAGTTCATGACGTCAGAAATAATAAGGCCCAAGAAGGTATGATAAACTTTTAAAACTTGTTTTTTATAGTTGCAACTTACGATATTTATACTTTTGTAGAATATTCTGAAAAAAATACTTGTGCTGTTATTAATATAATATTTTCTGTTCAGAACATCCCTTTATAAAATCCCCTAAGTCAAGTATAGAAGAGAATATTCAACATGAAGAATCACAGTTCCAGGTAAATTTAAAACGATAACTAAAAGTTTTATTGAACATTCCATGTTTACTGTTAAGGTGCCCCGTGAAATATCCACGGATGAAGACATAGATGAAGATATTGAGAACTTTGACGAAAACACCTCAATACAAGGCAGATAACACTTTCAGTTAAAAATATATTGTAAGAACGGGAGCTAGCTATTTCCAAATTCAAAACTAAAGAACGAAAATTTACAGCTTTAAAGTTAAATATAAAGTTTCAGCTAAATTGCCGCTAGTGACTCGTAATTCAGTTCCGTAGCTAGGGGCAGATGAGCAGGAACAAATTAAAAAAACAAAGGGGAAGAAAGAAAGAAAAAAGAGTCTAAAAATAAAATTTTATTTAACGAAAGTAAAAAAGTAAAAATTGAGCGCTTTAAACAAAAAACATTTGGAAATTTTTATCCCTATGAGGACTAGCGATAAAAATCATTAATTCCATTTATTGGATTAAAAATTAACAACTTTAAAACAAATATTTTCTTATATAGAGACAAATTGGAATTGTAGATAAAATTAAGCTAGGTTTAGGGAAAGGTGCTTCTACTCATCATCCAGCTTGCAGGGTTGGGTTTCTGAAAATCTTATTATTAGTTTTTAAGAAAACTGAAAATTTTCCGACAGAACTTTGAGATTTAATAGGCATTTTTATGACATTTCCTAACTGTACAATTTTTATGGGGATATTCACACACAATCAAAATTTGGAAAACATCAATTTAAGGTTTTAATAGATTTTTATAGAGGACGTGAGTCAGACTCTAATAAAACGCATAAATAACTTCCAGTATATATATTTCTTATAACTTATTACTAGAGGGTTCAGAACTAAAGTCAATATCGATATCGCACGTGTAGACTGTAGAGATGATATCAGTACTAATGCCCCGTATCCGTTCTATCTCATTCTGTTGAATCTTGTGGAACTAGTTTAACGCGGCCAGGCATCGTCTTCCACATTTTAACTTAAATCTCAACATAATATCTATTCTCAACAAGGTTTTTTAATATTTTACATTATTTTATGAATCACAGGTATAAATAAAATAGGTTTTTTGATTGGGTGCTAATCGCTTGCAAGGGATAAAAGATGCTTTGAACCAGACAAAATATCAATCTAAAATAAAATAAAATAAGTGCAATAAGTTTAAAACCCTGTTTTTTAAGTCTTGATTTTTTAGGATAATTGAAAAATTCGCATGTGTTGGACCCTCCTAAAGTCAGTTTAACTTTCTAATTTTTGTGCCCCCTAGAAAAATACCTAGCTACGGGCCTGACTTAAATTCAACTTTAAGATGTCAGTTTTAGCTTAGTTAGATTTTTAATACCTGTTCTAAGTTAAATAATGCATGCTCCCTTGACTAACCATGAAGAGATGTGTTCTATTTCTTCTTTTTGAATTCAATCGCGTTCTGGTCTATAATATTAACAATATACAAACCTTATTTTTTACTTTTTTATTTAATACGACTTAAAATTATATCCATTATCAAAACTAATGAATTTCCCAAAAATATCCAAGTTTGATGGCTCACTTTGGAGAATTTCTTTACATTCTTTTGTATGATTCCCCGGAAATCTAAAAGAAATTCTCTGAAATTGTTCCCAGATCAGAGAATTGTTGGGAAACAAATTTTAGAGAATTGGTTTCGAGACATTCTAGAGAATTTCTTAGAAACTTTTCAGGAAAATGTGAAATAATTTCTTCGGACTATTTTTGATTGTTAATTTTTTCAAAATTCCTGAAAAATTATACGGAAAGAAATTAAATCGTTGTCACAAACTCTGATCTTCAAATATTTATATTTTTGCAACCCAAAGTGGTAAACCTTAGGTATTTTAAACCAGAAATTCTTTCAGATAAAAAAATCTAAGTTTGAAATATCAAAAGGTTAAACCACTTATAAGTTGCAAAGTTTGTTGCAAAGAATTAATGAGAATTTCTCCAGATAGTCCCAAGAAATTCTTGGGACGGATTTGGGGGGAGGGACCGCATTGTAGACTTGGAGATTATCTCTGGAATATTTCACCAATTTTTATGAATTTTGGAGGAACAGAATTAGAGACTTAGTTTAAGAAATTCCTGAGAATTTCTTCGGAGTTTTTCTCAAGGTTTGGCATATAAGTCAAATTATCCGGAAATAAAGAAAACAGACGATTCAAACGCAAAAGAAAGCAGTAGTATGTTAAACACGTTTATGTTTTTAGCAAACTGTACGCATACATGATTACAATATTTCGCAACAAAAAAATTTGTTTTAGAGGAACTTGATTTACGAGACAAGAGCACGGAAGAAAATGCTTTGGATCTAGATAAAACTGAAAGATTTCTTGTGAGAATTTAGAATTCTAATCAAATAAATTTAGTCTCAATATGAATATACACTTTATTATAAAAAGATATTTCAACAAATAAATAAATAATTTTACTAAAAATAGGGTTTTATTTTAAAGTGAATTTCTTTGTGTGATATGTAAATAATTGATTTACAATCAATCCAAATTAAACTGTTTTCCATACGTATATGAACATGTAAAGAATTTCTGTGCGGTTGCCTTGAAAAATATTTAGTAGTTAAAGGGAATGACCGGCAATGTGTGGTAGTTGAACTGAGAATGTAGCACGGCGAAAAAAAATTTTTGGATTCATTTGAGACAGATGAAACGTTTTAATGATGTATAATTACTGAGTTTGAGCGCAAAGTCGACGTTCAAAATCATACATTTGGGTGGTTACTTTTCGAGACTCGATTTTTTTAATTATTAAAGAACGACGTCGAAAAATGTTTCGAAAATTCTACAGTAAACTAATTAGATGGTATAGCAATATTTTATCTTCTATGCTAGAATCAATTACTTCTTTTTCGTCATTATATTGAAATTCTTATTCTTTACGAATTTGTTCACAGATTTCAACAAATTCTTCAAATGTCGTCTTTTCAATGAAAATTCTGGAAAATCTACAAAAACGTTTTTGAACAAAGAGACATTACAGAAACCAATAACTAAATAAGATTACGTATTTCCGATGATAAAGTTGATTTTATTTACTCATCCTGTTCCTAAACAACTAGTTTCTGGAATTGTAATCGATAGAACCCATTAATCATTACAGAAATAACATTTCAATAACATGTTGCTATAGTATTTATGGGATATACTGACCTAAATAACAACCACCAACCCTTATTGCCATATGGCATATCTAGCATAAAAGAACATACATATAAGGCGCATTATGAAAATAAATCAGAATTACTTCCTTTTTACAATGTTTTTTTTAGTTCTGAAAGAAATTTTTATTTAAATTGTATTTTGGTCATAATTTTGTTTGATATTTTCGTTAGTGAAATATTTGCAGTTTTTTGATTTACTACAACATTAAACAATGAAAAATAATCATAAAAATACATGTCAACAGGAACTTTAATTTCGTATGCGTTTTTATTCTATTTAAAATGTTGATAAATTGAAAACGTAGATTTTTGTCCTGTCATTAAACACGATTTGAAAATTCAAATATAAAACTGAAATGGAGTGTCCGCGAAAAATAAAAGAGGGTATAGATCGTTACCAGGGAGTAAGGAATAGAAGGGAGAGACAACTGACGCGGTTCGCCCTACCATATGATTATACATGCTTTGCAGACAGTACTCCATTTTATATCGAGCTGTTTGGTTTCTTTAGTAGGGCCCCACAGGAAAAATATGTATTGGCTCAATTTTCTTTGACCAGTTTCGCCAATAAATATTTTTCCTGTGGGGCCCTACTAAAGAAACCAAACAGCTCGATATAAAATGGAGTACCGTCTGCAAAGCATGTATAATCATATGATAGGGCGAACCGCGTCAGTTGTCTCTCCCTTCTATTCCTTGCTCCCTGATCGTTACTAATCTTATTGCTGTCTGTTGCGCCTATAAGGAGTAAGTGGTTAAGGACGACTCATGCCGGGGAACGTAGCGTCCATACGAATTCACAAAGTTGCATTATTCCACTCAGATTGTAAATAATTCAATTAAAAAAATTTGTCATTCAGATATTACAAATTATAATAATCGAATTAAATTCGATGAATTCGTAAATTGCTGATATGTAATATTTATTTTTATTTGTTTCATACTTTATACTTTTATACTTTAAACGACGATTATTTGGACGCTAAGTGTCTATAGTCACGTTTCTTCAGGGGTTCCACGTGGGAGAGACACCTAGCAACAAAAAAAAAACATTGTTTAAGTACATCATTTTTCGCGAACACCCCCTATAGTACAAACATCTTGCATTAATATTTATGGGATATACGTACCGAAATAACAATAGGGTTTCCACCGGAATTCAGGCTTACGGTTTACGTACGGAAATGATCCGGAAATTTTTTCCATTTCCATTATGGAAAAGGTTCCGGAAAACCGGAATTCCGGAACGATTTCCGGAACGATTTTTTTCCGGTTTAGGAAATGGAAACTGGAAATTTTACGGTTTCAATTCCGTAAAACGGAAATTTTTCCGGTTTACGTCACGTAAACCGGAAAATTTCCGGTTTCCATTTATACCGGAATTATCCCGGAATTCCGGTTTACGCAACAAATTTCCGGATCATTCCATTTCCAAAATGAAAATTTTTTTCCTTAAAAATGGAAACCCTAAATAACAACCACCAACCCTTATTGCTATATGGCATATCTAGCATAAAAGAACCTACACATATAAGGCGCATTATGAAAATAAGTAAGAATTTTTAAGCATAAATCATTTTTTCGCGAACACTCCCTATCAGTATGTATTTCCATTTTAAAATTAAACAAATATTTCCCCAGTAGAACTAGTAAAATATTTGACATTGTTTCTGGTTTCCCTTGGATAGTATTTCATTCAATTTGGTTTCAAATTTGAATTAAATAGAAAATTCTTGTTAAAGTTAAAATTTTCGTTCATTATTTGATTATTTTATATATACATCGAAGTATAAACATACTTTTTATGCATATCTAAAGTGATTTAAGTTTTAACTGTCATGTATGATAAATAATATTTTTTATAATATTAAAACTGTCTTACAGGGAGTGGTGACCGGCAATGTATGGTAGTTAAACTGAGAATGTAGTATTGGGGAGAACCGAGAAATATTTTAATATTCATTGAGACATGTAAAACGTTTTAATAATAAATAATTACGGAGTTTGAGCGCACGGTCGACGTTCAAAATGGAGTCAAACTCTATGTTAACAAGTTGAAGAGAAACAGGAAGTTATATACATTTTTGAGCTTGCATCATCATTTCGGTTTGGTCAGAACTCATTTAAAAATCCGTAAAAAATAAATTAATTATAAGTATTTCAAGTTTAATTTAGTGCAGTACGCTTTCCTGGGGGCCCTAATATTTACAATATGTTGTTGTCACAAAATATACCAACAAGAAAAGGGACATTTCAGAAAATGCTGGGGGAAAATTATGTATGTCAGGGACAATTTATTTTTCTCAGAAATATACAGTGCTCCCCAAAATATTCTGGTGAATGAAGACAACTTATCGAATATATTCATGTATATAAATGCAGTCGACCTTTTAAATATTCGGTGCTCCCCAAAATAAAGTGGTAAATGAAAACAACCAGTTTATTTTGGGGAGTACCAAATATTTGAAAAGTAGACTTCATATACCAGTTTATTTTGGCCAGAACTGTATATTATGAGAAGTTGTCTTTATTTTGGGTCACTCAGATATGTTAGAGCCCAGGTGTGGCGTTATTTCTGAGTAAACGTTAAATAATGGTAGTAGGCTCTACGCAGCAAATTTTCCGCGGCATTCCCGCACAATTCTGTGAATGTAAACAGTAAATTAAGTGAAAGTATTTCTCATATTTGAGAATCAATCAAGTTTTGCTGAGCGACAGACAGTAAAAATCAATTGTTTTAACATTAGGGATCGATATTACAGCTTGGGTTACGTTAGTTAATTTTTAAGATTCTGATACTAATGAGAGTCTAATGTATAGTTAATTACTTCTGTACTCACATTATAGCAGCATATAGTGTATATTTTAAGTGTATAAATATAATTTCTTATTTTGAAATTTCAGACAAAATACCAAATTTCTGTTGTGTGCATTGCTGTAAATTGCAAAAATATGCGCGGATGCCGTAGAAAATTTGCTGCGTAGAATCTACTACCATTATTTCACGTTTACCTAGAAATAACGCCACACCTGGGTAAAACCGGCCACTTATAAATGACAAAAATAACGGAACACGTGCATTTTTTCACTTAATAAAAATAAAATTGAGTGTAACGTAAAAATATTCGTTTAGATACTTAAGGTATTGCTTATATTCGAATTTTCATTTTACATGCTTATAATTGCAAACCCTGCAAAGTTTAATTAATGCATAGAAATGACGTTAGATGCCAGTAAAAAACTTATTGTAAAAACGCAGCATAACGTGCTCTGGGTGGACTTGTAAAAGGAAATTTAAGCAGTCTTTGAGAAAAACTTACAATTAATTCTATGTATTTACGGATTTTTAAAATAAAATCTGTTCTTACTAAACCGAAATGATGATGCAAGCTCAAAAAAATGTATTAAAAAATTTTACATTTTCCCAAACCTATAAAATGTGCATAAATACAACCTTCACTATGTTGGAATCAAAGTAAGAAAGTCCCGGGAAAAAAAGTTTCTGGAAAAAAAACCTGGAAATAAAAACTTTGGAAAAAACGTCCGAATTTTATCAAGTCCTTGGAATAAAATGTCACTGGAAATAAAGTCTCAGGAAATAAGATCCCAGGAAAAAAAGTCCTGAAGAAAATAAATCCGAGGAAAAGAAAAACCTAGAATTGTGAACCATGCATTTTCACTTGTTAGAGGACTTTTTTCCGGGACTTTTTTGTATAAAATCATACTGGAGCCAGAAAAAAATCCTGGAAAATTAAAGTCTCGAATTGTCAGGACTTTATTTCCGGAGACTTTTTAATAAAAGGACTTTTTTCCACAGGACTTTTTTAGTGTGAAATTGTAGGACTTTTTTTCCGGAAACTATCATGTTGATATTACCTTCCTGTTTCTGTACGTCTTGTTTATATAGAAATAAAAATTGACTCTTATGATTGAAAATAAGTAGTCTTATTCAGTTATTTGTTTCTTTTATGTCTCATTGTTTCCAACACGTTTTCTGTAGATTTACTGTAATTTTATTGAAAATGCAACATTTGAAGAATTTGAAGAAATCTACGGACACATTTTTAAAGAATAAGAAATTTATTATTATTATGAAAAAAAAAACAATGATTTATTGACAAATTTCTTTTGAGGAATATGTTCCTAAACATCTAATTAGTTTACTGTCGAATTTTTTTTACATTTTTGGCGTCGTATTATCAA